AGAGCTCCGGGGAAAAGTTGGAGGAAATCGGCTTACGGGAAAGTATGGATGCATGGCTATGGCATTTGTTCAGTCTGCTGTTGCAACTGCATTTCGGACTAAGCCAATAAGCGTTCGAGCAAAGTGAAATAAAAGTAGAGAAAGGCTAATGCCATGTCTTAGGCTGCGACCCCGCCCCTTCTTGCACTCGAATTTACTCGGGTATTTGCCCTGGGCCCACACTTTCACGGCTGCCCCAGCTTTTCCAGCTTTCCCGACATCTGTCGTCACGTTTTAGCGCTTTAGTAGCTGCAATTTGTTGGAGCGTGCGGCCGGGCCAAGTGCACACATGCATGTGCAAATAACTTTTTACGGTAATGCAAATGAATGCCAATTTACGAGCCGAGACATTCCCCACATTCAGCCAGCTTCCCTGCCAATCGCATTTGTCAGGCCAATTTGCAACTGCTGAGGTGACAACTCAATGAATCTCCTACGATCCCAATAAAATGGTGCAGCTTCTCGCCTATAAACTTTAAAGCAGACGGAGGTTTTAAGACTATTTAGAAACAAAGAGATACCTTTTTCGGTAAAGAAAATTCAGCTTAAAAGTATAAAAAATAATTTATGTAAATGTATCCATTCAAATTACTAAAAGAACATTTTAATAGGCATGTATATTAAAAGTTTGAAAAAATGCAATTTTGAATTTATGCAACAGTTTTACTAGCTGAAAAAAGCAAAGGACAAAGAGAGCGCTTCCGCGTCCGCAGAAGAAAGTAAAGCCAATAACAAATTCCTTTTTCGGCACCAAAATTGTTCGACAGGTGCGGCACCATGGGAAACTTTTGAACAAAAGGAAAAACAAAAATAAAAACAAAAGACATATAGAGCAATCATTTATGCTGCGCTTTGTGAAAGGCATTTCCACGGCATTTTCACAGCTTCAATACAAAAGGGGCGTGAATTTTCCATTCCTTTGTCGTGGCATTTGACTGGCAAATTATTTAGGCTTAGACAATGCGAACAAAAAGCCCAAGCACTTTCCGTTTTGGCCCCAAAATTCCATCACCCATACGCTGACCACGCCTAAATTGCATCTGTGTGTGTCCATTTTCATTTTGGATTTGTCTTTGGGTGAGTGTGTGTGTCGGTGTGCCAGTGTGTGTCCTTTTGTCTGTCCCAAGCATTATAAAACAATTTGTTGTTTTGACACCAACATGCCGGGATAGCCCTTTACCCTCTGCCCCTTTTCCCACGACCATCCCATTTATTTAACCACAGCTGACCCCACCTGAACCCCTTTGGCCCCACACACTCGTCTATTGTTTGCTCATTGGGAGACAGGATTTCGCTTTGCTTCCGTTTTGTTTGCGGCTGCCATTGGTATTTGTTTATTTGTGCCCCAGTGTGAGTGTGCGTTGTGTTTGCCTTGGGTTTACTTTTTATACTAAATGGAGTGGAGCACTCCATGGCAGCACTTAAGTCTTGTTTGTTTATTGTGCCGACGGACTTTAAAACGGCTTGAAAAAGGCTCTAACAAAAGCACTAAAGGATAGATAATATATTGTGTACTGCAAAATTAAACTTTTTTTATGAACAAAGTGTATATTTATTTATAATATGCAAACAAACTGGTTTTTTTAACAGTTCATTAAACATTTTTCTTTTAAAAAGTGTAATTTAATAATACCTTTCAAACGTACCTACATCAACAGTGCATAAAAAAAGTGCAGAACTTTTTTGTTTAAAAAATTGAAATTAACAAATTCCATTCTGCAAAAAGTTTCAGCTGAAATTTATCCGTATTAAAATTTCATGTTTAATCCCGCCACAACGCCCCTCCAAATTTATGTGGCATACTCTCAGCCATTGTTTAACACCCACACAAGCTCACGTGGAAAACCCACGGCGACTAAGCACATTGGATTACACGCGAATACGATCAACAATTGAAGTTACCCTTAAGCCCACCCATACCTAAGCTTATTACATGCGGAAAATGGGGAAAACAAATTTGGTTGATGAACTCAATTAGAGGCGGCGACACAACCAACGCCACCCCTTATTAGCCCTTTTTTAATTAATTTTGAACTTTTCTTTTTTTTTCTTGTCTGTTTGTTTTATTTATATATTTGAAATTTACTTGGGCGCCAAACTGTTGTGAGCGCAACTCGAGCGAAATCAAATTATGAAAATTATTCTCCTTTCTTCTTGCAAACACATTTTCAATTAGTCAAATTGAAAGTTTTTGCCGAAGACAAAAGTTGGGCAAAACTTGAACGAATTTAAGGGAAAACACTGCCGCCAGGACACATTGGACGTGAGGGTAGACCATTTTATTGCCTTTTCAGCTCGCAGGAAAAAGCGTCCAAGAAATTGCAACTAAAACGCAGTCATGCTGCACAGGATAATCCAAAGGATAATCCATGCGGCACAGTAAAGGGAGCTCTGAAAAAATCATACAAAGGTTCCAACAACGCACGAAACCCAGCTACCCTTCTCCTTTTTTTTTAGCAGTCCACACATGTTCAATTTTATGCTAACAAAGCTTTTTTTTATTGGAACCTGCTGCAGAAGGGGGCAAGACCCCTGGTTCGACTGCAATTTCGCGGCCTTTGTGGAGCCTGTGTGTATTTTTTTTTTCAGAAGCTTTACAGCCGAAAAATTGAAATGAATTTGCAGCTTGCAGCACGAGTGAATGCATTTTTTAAACCAGCCAGTTTTATTAAGTTTTTGCTGGCCCTTAAATGTAAACATATTGATGATGATGCCGCAAAAGCCGAAGCTTATGTTTGTTTTCATCAGTTGGATCAGTATTGGAAAGCTTAGGTGGAAAAAACTTTTTAAATTAATACCCAGTCCAGATATTTTTTTTTAGGTCAGCTCAGCTTCATTTTCAGTACCAATTGTTGGTTGAATAGTGGCTCATTTTAGCAGTTAATAAATAAAGTTGAACTGATTTTTCATTTCATGTATAAAGAAAAATAAAAACAAAACTTTGTAGGTGTAAACTTTAAAGTATTACGAAACTAAAATCAATGGACTCTTCCAAATAAATAAATGCATAAATAAATATTCAGATAATTAGATTATATGAAGCAAATATAAACAATTTACTACATTTGATTTTTTTATGATTGAGTGACCTTTGGCAGCAGGAAGTTATTTAATTTTAGCCAGGTTTTATTGTATAATTGTATTTAAATGATATTTCAATTTGTAAGCATTCTTTTCAGGAAAACCAAAATTGAAAACAAACAAATATATAACTTTTTAAATTACCTACCTAAAAGTCGATTTTGTTAAGGATAAAACTTTTGTCCGTAGCTCAAAACCTGTTTACCTGTTTGCCAGGCTAATCTGACCTGTCACCCCCCACTTTTCCCGACTGAGTGGCACATGATTAGGGCAACTCATATGCGCATAGAAGGCCGCGAGCCAAGTGGAACACAATTTGCATATATATCTTTATGGCGGGGGACCGAAAGAGTAACCAAACTGGGAAAATAACAACGCGACCTGACCCCTCCAACACTACGAAAAAATTGGAGAAAAAAAAGTATATACTAACGCAACAATTTTTCGGCGTGGCTGCTGATGTTTTATTTTTTATGCAAATTTTGTTTCATATGAGAAATTGCCAGCAAATGGGCAAGGGGAACAAAAGCATCATACAGTATGTGAAGAACGAAATGTGCAAAAACTTTAATAAAAGACTGTGTCGGTAAGGGGTTTGTTAAGGGGCCCCACCATAAATTTGCAGAGCAGGGTGCGACGTGCCTCTTCAAACAAAGCAACACTCAACGACGCTGCTGCTCCAACGAAATAATTTCAGGAGCAACAACAAAAAAATAAATAGGAGGATAACAGGGGGAGAGGGTTTTTGACTTGCTTGCATATTAAAAGTCAAAAGCGTTGAGCTGTTGAAAGGGTTATAAGGAGAGGGAGTGGAATTTCCTCCTGCTTTGTTGCATGCGACACGAAAAACTTGCGTTGACAACAATGCGACAACATGTTGTGGGGGACTCCAATCCAGAGGTAGCTGCTGCCTTTCAGACCGCCTTAAATTAGTTAATATTAATAATTTGGCGAGTTTGTGGGCGTCAGCTTCTTGCATGGGAAATGTTATTAGTCCACAGAAAATGGAAAGATAACTGAGGTGACTTTTTAGACAGACTCTGCCAACGCTGCAACGTTGGTAACGTAGAAATAAATTTTAAAACTTTAAGAAATACATTTTTAGATTACCATTTTTTTAACTTAGTTGTTATTAGCCCGTTTAAAAACTGTATTATACTTCGGTGCAAAATAAAACCTGCATAAAATGAAATTTTTACGCATTGCTTCCTTGATATATTAAGAGTGTTTTTTTCAACCGCATATTTTTGCCCTTTCTGTGTCTGCAACTTCGTAGCAAATCAAAATATTGCAATAAAATAATTTCCGCAGCAAACGCAACAAAACTAAAACTTCTAACTGGTAATTTCAATTGTGCAGCGATGCTTTCTCCAAGTTTCGTTGTATCTTTTTTCTGTCAAGTTCAACTTGTCGACAGTTTTATGAATTTTGTTTTTAACCTGAATTGCTATTTTTATCGTTTGAAGGATAAATAAAGTGTGCAGGACTTCATTTAAATTTTATTGCGAAACTGCTCCACAATAAAAACTAAATTTTAGTAATCAACTTGTTTTACCAATCAACTGATGACACTTCTCCCAAGCCCGCAGGAACAGCTGGATCACTGTTTTGCAATTATACACCTGTATGTAATGCTTTGACGAAAACCACATGCGATGACAGCTGCTGGCAAATAAACAGACAGCCAGACAGCAATCAACCAAAATGTACGACATATTTTGCAGTTGCTTTTGATTAAATTATATTATATTCGCAACAGTTAAAATTCATTAGAGTTAATTACAGCCGCAATTAAGAGGACATTTTCATAACAAATTGGGGGTAATTAAAAAAAACAAACAACAGCGTGGCATATAGCGAAGTATTTTCTTTATTTCTTTATTTGATTGCCTGTTTTAAATGAACAGGAAAAATTTACATAAAAGTCGAATAAAAAGGAAAATTTTTAATAAAGCGGGAGGATTATTTCTAGTGTGTCAGTTGTTTGGAAGTTACATGGAATCATTAATCTGAACTGGTGGTGGTTTCGTTAAGCAAATAATTTATATGATCTCGAAAACATGAACTTTCAAAGGGCAGCATGAAAATAGTATTTAATAACCTATTTATTTGGGACTTTTTGTGCTTTAACATTTCATCAATAAAAGCTGAGTTGATAAACTCATTTGCCAATCATTATTAATGCTAAAATATTTGCATTTCGATACCATTATTAAATGTCAGACCAGTTCCTAAGCCATTTTGAATGTAAGGCTGCTTACTTTGCACAAGTTGAGGCCAAAGAATAAAACCAACACAGCCAGAAAAAAAATGGAGCAATTATAAAAGTGGCAAACAACAGGAACAACTATGTTCAGGGAAAAAAGAAAAGCGTCTAGCCTTGTTGCGACTTTTGTTTTGCTTCGTTAGTCGGTTTTTCTTGGCGGTTTTTCGCGGCGCAAGTTTAAGTGGATTTTCATAATTTACGCGCTCTGCGCTCGGTGAAGAATCATAAATTATTACCCACAGCCGGGAAATGGAAGCCACGCCCCCTTTTTCTACGCTGTAACAATTGGATTTAATTGTAAGTAAAATATGTGAAAACTTTTTGTTGTCTTTTTTGTGCTCAGCATTATGAAGCCATATCGAGTGTTTCAAAACTTTTTCAAGTATCTAAAGTGGGTGGAATTTATATATTCAAAAAACGACCCACCCACTTTTCCCACACCCCCGCCCAAAGTCAGCGACATGTTGTTTTCATGTGATTTCCCACTGTCAGCAGCAGCTGCGACTGTATGTGTGTCGGGCTTTTTGTTTTGCTTTCATGATGATGATTTTCCAGCTTGTGATTCCTATGTTTGCCTTTCGTCAACGTTTATGACAATATATCAAGGGAAACTCCATCTTCAGCTCCATTTCCATCCCCAATGCTGCGGAACTTGGTCTACTTTATGCTTTTATTGGTTACATGAAAATATTTTCCGCTCTTCCTTATTTTCTTTTCGCTTCGCCTTCCCAGCCACAATTGTCAGCCACAGAAGTTATGAAGTATTTTTTCTTGTTTTTTTTTTTAGTGGCAGCAGGATGAGAAACGAGGAAATCGAGCGACATGTTGCCATAAAGTTTTTAATTAAATTGTTAGATTTTACATTGACACTTTTTTTCAGTTGTTGCTGGTGAATGACAAGCAAATTGGGTTCCTTGTGCACAAAAAGATACATACATAGCTAGCTAGGAGTTCAAATTCAGCTCAATATTTTACGGAGTTTGCCTTATATTTTATTAAACAAATAATTTATTGCATTTTATTTTACAATCTTTGGAGAAGCACATCAATTGGTTTAATAATCGTGAACATTGGCTGGTATATTTTGGTTTGCTCTCTTATTTTATTCTTTCCTTAAATCCCATTCTTTTTTATTTTATGGCACGCACTTTGGCAGCTTGGTTTCGAAAGACTTTGTTAGCAAAAGAACAGAGAACCTATGGTCAGTCCTGTGCGATAAGTGTGCGAAATGTGCGCGCCCCGGTAATATTTTCTCCACCTGACGTAAGGTGACCAAAAAGGCTGACAAAAAGGGAGAGCAAGTTGGCTGCACTCTCATGATAAAGTTGACACTTTATGCGTTTTGCCTCTGCGACGACAGCCTCAGGGCAGAAAATGCAAAAAGCCATGCAGGAAAATGCGGAAAATCTCCACCTCACATGTGAGTTTTGTAAGTTTTTGATTTTGTTCGAAAAGTTGAAACGATTCCTTAAAAATTACAAATTTTAGCTAGAAGGTGAACAAAATCAGACCGCATTTTATAAGCATTATGTGTTTTTACTCAACACTCATCAAATAAATCCGAACAGCATACATCGTACTACATTTTTTTACCCATTCAAAACAACTCCCAGTTTGGCTATCACATTTTGTTTTTTGTGCCTTTACCTGCAGTTTTTTTTATATATTTTGGTCAAAAAATCAATTAAACGCTTTTTGGTTACATACGTCGTATACGCAATATATGTTGCTGACCTGGTTTTATTTTTGGCTGAATATAAAAAGTGCAATGTGTGTAGCCCAAAACCAAAATAAGCAACTTAGTTGGGTTATTTAAGTTACTAACATAGGTAGAGTTAGCCGCTCGCCCACTTTTTAAATTGGTATTTAGTTTTTCGCATTTTTGTTGCAGCTCTAATTACCCCTATACTTGTATATAGAATGTGACCCACAAAAATTCGTGTTTATGTTATATGGTTTTTAGCACTTTGCTGAATTAATGAATATTTGAACGATGGTTTTATTGACGTTTAGGGTTTCATTTTGGGAGCTGCTAAGCGGAAAATGTAAAAGTGCAATTGATTTTAATTGGTTGCAATTTGATTTCAAATTGTTAATATAAATTGAACTGATTGATATTGAAATCCTTAAATAAATTTCCTATATATTTTTTTTATTTGCAAATTTAAAAGCATTTTCATTGCTATTTTTCGGTCTTTGTGTGCTCTTCAATTTTGTGCTCCTCATCAGGCTGTTTCAACAAAACCCGTTTGCGCAATAATTTCGAGTGCACGCTTGTTCAAATGAATTGAATTGGATAATTGAATGCATGAGTGACTGACTGGTTGATTGACTGGCTGAGTTGATTGAGACCCGCTATGTGCAGAATGCCACGAACTTTTGGCCCACCAATGTGTATAGTTTTTCCATGTCCTTGGGGTTAGGCATTGCAACGTGGCGGAGCGACAATCGCAACGCCTTTCAATCAAACGTTGCACACGAATTCCCAAACAAACCGACAGCCAGCCACGCCCACATCCGCCGCCCCCACGAACTGTCACTGCACGTGACAAATGCCGACAAACGACATTCGTTTTCCTTCTTCGCCACTCTGTGTATCTCTTACGGGCTTACAATATTGCAGCCGGAAGGGTTAAAAGCCAGCTACCTGGAGTTGTTTGGCCCCGGCTTTGTGCACCACTAATTTGCCATATATATCCTTTTATACACACTTTCATTTTACGTTTTCGGAACAGAATTTTTTATACCAACAAAGGTTGCTTTTCTGACTTTTCATAAAGATATCATATCCTTTTGAAGTATTGCGATATTTTAAAATGGTATTGGTAGTAATCAGTTAGGTCAATCCTTAAACATTCTTAAATACCAAAGCACATGAATGGTGAGTTATTTAAAGTCATTAATAAGCTATGAATCATTTTTCTGCCATTTTTGAGAATAAAGAAAATATTAATCTTAAGTTTTTTAAAGCACAAAAAAAACATTTCTGTCCTCCTGTTAAGTAATTTGAAGCGCATTTTTGGCATTAAAACTACCTTTTCCAGAGTAGCATTAGATATGATTAATTAATGCAACATTTCGGTAATCATCGGTAAGCTAGGTAATCATTAATGCTCTGAAATTAGGAAATAAATCAGTAGCCAAAGCTTTTCCTCTCGACAAATTTGACTGGCTGAAAAACTGGCGCCAACAAGTAGATTTCCGTCAAAGGGAGAGCTGCCCACGACTGGACTGAAAGAGGAAAAATGTTCCCCTCACACGAATTTCACCCCAAAATTGCTGTCATTAATCATTTGGCTTGAAAAAGGTGCCAAGCTGTTCGGGTGACGTTAATCTTCAGAGGAAATATTGGCCAAAACGAGAGACCGAAAAACCTCTCTGAAGACTCTACCAGTATTAACCTTATTTGCTACTACCAAGTTGAAGCCGAAAGGTCTAGGACTTTTCGTAAACAATTAAAGTAATCTGCGTGGGAGTGGCACTTTTTGTAGCATGGTTGCTGCTTCTGACTTTTGACACGTGTCATTTACGATTGAAAGCGTCGACACAACGACAACAACGATGTCAAAGTGAAAGAAGAAGTGAGTGACAAGGCCAGTTAATGGCCATTTGGCCACAAGCCAATACCAAGAATAGTTTTTGGCCAAGTTGCCAGCCTTTAAATACCTGAATCGTGTGGCAATTAAAATAATTCCTCACTAGGAGAATGTTAATTAAATGTTTATCCTTTTCAATTTCAAACTAATTGAAGTTTAAGTGTTTTAATTGCAGATATTGCAATGCTGAAAAGTTAATTGATATACTAATAAAATAGATTACAACTCGTAGGCGAAAGTGATATCAGTAACATATCACTTATTTAAAAGCAGTGTCAGTATCAATTAATGTTTGAATAGAATCGCAAAAATTAACCAACAACGTTTTCCTGCAACTTTCTGTTCAATGAACTTTACAAAAACACGTTTGAAAATATTGCTTAACATCCTGTCAACTTTGTTATTATCATAAATCTGCTGAAATCTACTTTTTTTGATCACCCTTTCTCTTCCCCATTTTTTAATTTTTTTTCAATTGGTAAAATGCTCTTTTGACCTTAAGCTTAGATAGATTTTTTCTTTAGTGCATAGTTGAGCTGTCACATCAGAAAACGCTTAGGCGGCCGACTGAATCTCTTTATCCTTTGCTCCCGGCTAGCATTATGCCAAATGGGCAGTTCTTCTTCCAATGCCGGTAATTTATTTGCACTTTGATAGCAACAAGATGCATGCAGCGGCGGTGGAAAAAGGGGGCTGTGGACTGCATGTAGTTGAGGGTGTGAAAACCTGCACTTATAAATCACTGAACGGAGGAGCAGATTCTGCAATGCTTTCGCTGCTGTTGTAACCTGCGACTGCGACTAAACAGTTTATTGAAAAGTGGACCCAAAGTGCAGCGCCATAAATATCAACTCAAGTGAGCGCGGGAACACCCACAATTGCAGTAAGTCGTTCGTGTTCTTAAAGCTTTTTAACACTTTAACTTGTGGGTGTTGTTCGCGGCGCTTCTTCCGTATAGAAAGTCATAAATGTATGTCTTAAAATAATACATTTTAATTTACTAATAAAATATAATTTTTCCAAGGCCAGATGGAAATAAGCAAAATAGGAAGGCAACTTTTTGGTTTATGGGTGTCAAGGTCATAGCGAATTGCATTAAAATTGCTCATCAAATAGCACTCGGTGCTCCCATTCAACAGATTCAACATTCTCACTTTTGATAACGGCAATCCCTACTCTATAGATGAGAAGCATTTCATTGCATTCGCTTCGATGACTGCTCAACATGTTCAAAAGCCCCCTCGAAAAACGCCATGAACAGCAGTGGCAGGATGTTAAGAGTCCTTCCCCATTCACACAGATACGCTCGCGCTCACAGAGGCGACTGGGTGTGTTGAGCAGGTTCAAAGACCTGCCAAAAAGCCGGCACTGTTAAATAGGTTTCGAGTGCTGCTCACGAAACTGGTTAACATGGGATCCACAGCGAAAGAGAGAAAGTCTTTCACTTGAGAGAGACAAATTCGGAAAATAAATTCCATGTGGGAGTAACGGCAATATTTTCCAAGGTCTGCTTATGTTTTTATCAAATTTGTATGATAGGGCTAATAAAAAACTAATATTTATAGGCAACAAATTATTCCTTTTTTTTAGTTATATATTTTTAAAATTACAATTTTTTTCTTGTGGAACATTATTTAATAATTTCTGTCTCCCTTTAAAAATGTTAGAAAGAGATACTACTAACATTTTATATTTCGAATTTCGCCAGTCCAATTTTTATTTGGGTTAACAGAATAAAATATGGAGCAGAAAGTGAATTTTAATAAACATATTTAAGGGGAATGTGGAGCCTATGTTGGAGCCGAAAATGTTTGTATAAACATTCGGGATGTCTGCTATGCTTTCTAACATATTTTTTATCACGGTCTCCACCGTTTTTTTATTCTGTTAAATTTTTCCCCTCAATTTTCGAGTTGCGTTTGGCTGGAGACTATATACATTTTCGAGAACTCTGTTTCGCTACTTCTCCTACATTTTTGGGATCCAAAGAAACTTCGCCTTGCCCCTTCAATGTTATCTTCCCGACTTTAACATGTTATTTATACATCTCTTCGTGTGGATTTTAACCTCGTTTTTTTACCATTGAGAGTTCGCTGCTTGGGTGCTCCGTAACCTTCTTTAATTTCTTTTGCGTGAGTTCGGCAACTTTTTGTTATCTTTTGTTGCTGTTGCTGCTCTCGAGTCGCAAAAGTTGTTGACAGGCATCTCGACGCAGCTCAGCTTGAAATAGTTCGCATGAAATTAAAATAATCTCTAAGATTTATTGCTCTAGAAAGCGCAATTGACTCGAGTAGACGCGAGTTTTCTGCTCGCAGTCTATTTTTGGGCCACTGTTGGCAATCCTTTAAATATGCCAGTGCGAATTTAAGGCAATTTATGCAAATTAAAGAAATGGGAGATGGAACGTTCAAGTATGCTCCCTTGTTTATCGGCGGCTAACCAGAAAACGTAGCAAATTGGCCCAAGTGCCGGGAGCTTTGTTTAATGGTCGAAAAGTACATATTTGCGTTTACTTTGGTCCTCGCTCTCCTTCCATTTTCCGTTTTCTATTTTCTCCTTTATTTCAGCGTTTCGCCTGGGGGCATTTCTCAAGACGTTGTCAGCTCTTCAATGGTAAATGCAGCTGCCACTTTGGTCAACTTGTTGTTGACTTGTTGCCACTCTGACCGTTCGGAAGGAAAAGCGGAAATGAAGTTGGCAATGCGGAAATGCCATTTTTCATGATTCCTTCGGACACACACACACTCATACCCATACTCATACGCCCTCTGAGGGAGATAAATACGGAGGGCTCTCCCCCTTTTGTTTTCCAGTTCATCTCTTGACTCTTTCGGTTTGCTTTTGACAAATTGTTTGGCGTTGCCGGGCTAATATTAACAGTGCATATCTATATACGAAGACCGACTGCATCTGGTGATATATACAGCCGTCTGGTTATTGTCTTGCCATTATATCTACTTGAAAGGAGTTGGTAGTCAAGGTTTTCATGTGGCCAATAATAAATTAAAGCTCGTTTAATTAATGTATGGTATTAAAGCACTTAACTTTAACAAATTAAGTTATTGGCCGTGTTTGACACATCAGTAGGGTTTTGAAATTACTTTAAAAGGTATCTATATGAATGCAATAAAAAAAATAAAGTCTCGGACTCAAAATAGTTCAATACGTACTCTTGGACAAATTTTAAATATTGATATCAAGTTTACACGCTAAACCAGAAAAGTAATAAACAGATAACATACCCCAATTCCCACAACATGTATCATGTTCGCTAACGACTAAACAAAATTCCTTTTACGTACCTGCAAAGAAAAAAAGAATGAAAGGCCATTATTAACAAACAGATTCAATTTACAGCAAATATTGATGGTCATCGCAGAGTATTTTTAATGGCTTAAACCGAGAGTTCAATGTCTGGCGGAGGGGACGCAGACCAAGCATCGATCATAAATGATGGAGTGCGGCAATCAAGATAAATGGTGCCGTCGAGTGCCGGAGGAGCCATGGGCAAAAGAAATTCACGACTCGGCGGCCATTTGTTGTTGAACTTTCGATGACATCACTGCGTATGCGCAATGTGCGACGAAAACGGTTTAAAGTGGGATAAAAAACAAACAAAACTAAAAATCAAACGAACTATTTACAAATTGTTGGACCCTTCATAGGAAGTCATAAATTGAATGCGTGGCATAAAAGCATTATCGAATATTTAGAGCAAAGTTCATTTTTGTTCCTTTGCTAAAATGGCTGTGCCGGAACAGGGCGGTAATATTCGGTGGGTGTGGCCCAATTTTATGGGCTCGAACATTTTTTACGAGCACTTATTTCCGCCCCAGAAATTAGACAACTGCTTGGGAATCGTTTATGCCCGAAAGGGTGTTGTTTCCCAATAGGTTGAAGCTTTTCTTCGCCTTTGCCTCGCCTCTATCTCTGCGAATTTATGATGTGTGTAACAATTGGGCCATTGTTAACGTTGCCCTTGGCCATTCACTCGAGTATGTCATGCAAATTCTGCTTATTTTATTTAATACGATTTTTACGAGGGCCAAAAGGAAGGGATTAATTCGCCACCGGCAGTGGCTCAATTTTTGGCCCTTGGATAAATAATAATTTCCATTGGGGGTTATTTTTCCCTGAATAACTCTTTTATACTGCCCAGTGAGGCTTAAAATTTAACTTTCCGACATTTGTCATGTTTTGTTTGTCTGGTGTTTTGGTTTCCCCGTTGGCGCAATTTATGCCCCAACAAGCCAAAAGGCTACGTGCAGAGGCTGCTCTAAGCCTAAAAGAATGCATAACTAAAAAGAGCACGTTTCACAGATAACCAAACAACAAACGGAAAGGAAAGCAAGAAAGGCAGACAGAAAAACAAGACATCGATAACTGTGTACAGAGAAAAAAGTTGAAAAACTTTGAACTAGGACCCATACTACTTTAAATTTTAAAACTTGTTATGCTATGTTCTATAATTAATAACTGAATATATACTTTAAAACAAAGAATATTGGCCTTCTTTTTTTAATGCCTACATATAGATAATTATATTTAAAAAAAAGGCTTTGTAATATCAAAACTTTGTTATCCAATCCATTTGGATTGTGTTCTCTCAGTGCCTCTGGTTTCTATGTGATTTTTGGGTCCTGCTCATTGTGTGCGTGTGGGATAACAGATATGTTTGTTATTTAAGCAAATGATTTTTCGCTCCGGGTCCGTTTGCCAATGGACCGGAAAGTGCAAGCCAAAACGCAGCTGTGGCAAAACTGTTGGCATTTAAATAGGTCACAAGGCCGCATTATGAAAGGAGAAATCCTTAACGCCAAACAATAACAAAGACCAAATAAAATGAGTTGCCGGGACTAATGCAAAACGGAATCCAGGGAGACCACACAATGGGCTGGTGGAAAAACTTCGCCATCGAGGAAAGCGAAATTGCACACAAATGCAGTCAAAGCACCGCAGAAACATCACGGCACAATAACTGCGAAAAAAACCGAATGCAAATAGCAACAAACAATGATACAAAAAAAAAACCAATGTGAAGCCAATGCGAAGCGCTAAAAGTGACAGACAAATATTGACGCAAAATTGAACAAAAGCCGGAACCACGGCAAAGGAAAATCCTTTGCAAGAAACGGAGGTAAAAAAAAATAAATC